AGAAAGAACTCCTACCTTTCACAACAGCATGGATGGAACTGGAGAGTATTATACTAAGTGAAATAAGCCAGTTGGTGAAAGACAAATACCACATGATTTCATCTATAAGAGGAACCTAATGAGTAAAATAGAACCAGAAACATGGAAACAAGGAATAGACAGATACCAGAGGGAAGTGGAGAGGGGGATAAAGGTAGAGAGATGGGGAAGGATTAGTCAAGGACATGTATGAATGACCCATGGACGACAGTGTGGAGGATGACTATAAAAGTAGGAGGTGGGCTGGGAAAGAAGGGCAAAAGGGGAAAAATTGGGACTACTGTAATAAAATAACAATAAGATATTTAATAAAAAAGATATAGGCAAGTAAGAATTTGCTTTCTTTTCTCTACTTGAACTAAATGTTGAGCCCCTGCTCATCTACCTTCAGGTCAAGGAGAATGTTTATTTTTAAAATAAGGGCCTATATGTTTTATCTGTACCATAAAACAATTAGGATTTTATTTTGTCATATAATTAGGACTTCACATTGTCTTATAATGCTTGGGTCTCCAAATCTTTGTTTCTCCAACCAGACTGTAGCTCCTTAAAAGAGACAGATCTCTCTCTCTCCTTTTTTTGTGTTCTTGACATCAACCAGCAAGAGTGGGCAAACAAAAGGAGTTCAATACATACTGCTTGTGTAAGTGATTGACAGGTGAACTTTTAGACATTAGCTTTCTTCAAACATCAGTGTCTATATAACTTGCAATTGCCAGCACATTTCCTTAATGTTTAGTTAGCAAAGATGGCAGCTCCACACCTACCTTCACTGTTTTACTCTTCTAAACCTATAAAATCTTCCCTGCTCCTCAAAGCTACCATATACCTGCTGATGTAGTCATAAGGGCAGCCACATCAGAAAACTGCCACTGTCTAACTGGTGACTTAAAGACACAACTTCATTCTTCATATTTTTAAAATTTTGCTTAAAGCATATAACTCAGAAGAAAAAAGACATATATAAAGAATATATTAATGGGACAGTGTGGTGTGGTGGGGTGAAAATGGAGATAACTATACTTGAACAACAATAAAAAAGAATATATTACAAATATATATAGGAAATCAGAAATTAAACATAAAATCAGCTCTTTGGACACAAGAACACAATCTCAACAGTTAAAAGTTCAAATAAATTCATACTATATTGACTTTGTGTCCTGGATCCTAGAATCTGAAATAACATTACAATATTCAGTAATCTCTACCTTAGTTATTAAACTGTTCCCTCCCCAGAGGGGACGGACAATACCTTTTTTCTACTAGTGGCTGACAGTGTCAGGAACGTAGCAGTTCAGAGTTATTGAATAAATGAGTACAGAAAATTTACCAATATTGCTAAATTCTTTAATGTATTCTATATTACTGCTCTCAACTATCTTCCTGCATTAAAACACTCTAGGCTTTTGTGTAACTGCCACAACAACAAGTGGGACAGAAAGATGAGGGCAAACAGTTTTGTAAGCCTTAGATACTCAGTGTAGCATTTAGTCTGGCAAATGAAGTGATTCTCAGAAGCAGTATTATAAAAATATCTTATTTCTAACAGCATACAAATGACTCAGTATGTTATAATTCTAGTTTAAAAATTTTTATATTTTCATTAAAATACAAAATGTGTTATTTCAATAATAATTGCTATCATGTTACTAACTCTGACAACAGTATCCTATAAATAAGAGATTAAATAGCCTTTGTCAAGAGTAAGTGTGTGCATTTTAGTGTTATTTGATTTCCTGTATATAAATATTTTAACTTTTAATTTTTAGTACTTTGGCATATAATTTTATTTTATATTTGTTAAATTATACTTTATTGATTATGCTATTACAGTTGTTCTGATTTTTAATTTTTTTAATTGGTTATAAGAACAAATTAGTAATAACATGCAGCAGTAAAGCACTGCTCAGCTATAATCCTCTGTAAAGTTTATATTCATATTAGAATTTTTGAACTTGTTAAGATGATAAATTATGATATTTCTTTCCTGAGATTAATAATGATAGGATTAGGAAGTTAACTCATTATTAAATTCTGCTAACTTCCTTTACCTTTCATTAATATTTATCACATGGTGAATTAAATACTAGATCCCCCCAAAACACTCTTGATACTTGGTACCTTCTTCTGTACCACAATCTATAATCCCTGTGATGTTTTTAAAATGTCTACTCTTCCTTTTAAAAGGAGGAACTTATTTCTTTGCCTCTGGAGCATTAGCGACTTACTTCTAATGAACAGAATAAAGTGGAAGGGATGGTATGTGAGTTTTAGGAATTACATAACAGAAAACACTGTGGCTTATTCCTTGTTCTCTCTCTCAGATCTCTTACTTTTTTACCTGGAGGAAGTTGGCTGCCAGGTTGTGAAGAGATATCCACATGGTGAGGTCTCCTACCAATAATCTGATAAGCGATCCCTCCTGGAAGTAGATCCTCCAACTACAGTAAAGCCTTCAGAACTAAACCCTTGTGCCTACATCCTGACTTCAATCACATGGGATCTTGAATCAGAACCACTCAGGTAAGTCACTCCTGAATTTCTGACCCATAGAAACAGATAATAAATATTTGTTGTTTTGCCTTGAGTGGCGTGGCTCAGCAGGTTGAGTGTCTTCCTGCACACCAAAAAGTTGCTGGTTCAATTCCGGTCAGGGTACATATCTGAGTTGCAAGCCACTTCCCCATGCATGGAGCAACCAATCGATGTAACTCTGGCACATCAATATTAATCTACCTCTCTTTCTGCTTTCCTTACTCTCTTTCTAAATAAAAATCTTTAAAAAATATTTGTTGTTTTAACTTGTTGAGTTTTGGGGTAAGTTTGGGATACTTTCTATAACTTATAACATGATACCTAATAAAACATCCTCTTTGACAAAGCTGTATCTCATCAAGAAAGACTGCAAACTACATGGTGTGCAAGAGGTGAAAGATTTTCCACCAAACTGAATACTTCTCTAATGTCCCTAAAGTACAAGCAGAGTACTAAGAGTCATCTGATGATATAGGCCCTGTTGTCTTGACTCTATATTCTTTCAGGAGCCAAAAGATTCTTGCATTGTTTGTATAGGATTAGCATGAACAGAGAGTGAACTATAAATTTAGTGTTTTCAAATAAAATATTCTATAAGGGTCTCTTTTCCTTCAACATATCCCTCATTCCTTTTCTCTGTTTCATTTTCCAAGGCAGCAATAGTTTCCATTTGCCATAATGTCCACAGATCTTAACTCCACTCAAATATTTAAACAAATTATTCTAAAGAAAAGAAATCCTCAATCCACCCACCAAACAGGAGGAGGAAAGGACTGTGGGTGGTTAGTTGTAGCTTCCTTCTGTTACTGGTTCAAAGCATTTCAATTAATTAATTCATTACAGAGGTTAGGCCAACTGATTGGGAATGTGATTTCTAGAAATCAATTCATTTTTGAGAAGACTAAAATATAGAATATATTAAAAATAGAAAAATACATTTTGCCACTATCTTAGCCATTTCTGCATTCTGCTTTCAAGCTCTTGTCTTGTAGAAAGACCATAATTTTACAAAATTAAAGCCAAATAATATAATTTTTTTTCATTTTGGAAAAACCCTAATATATTCAAATCAATCAAAGGTCTTTAGAAAATGATTTAATTTTTATTAACTAAAAGTGATTTTAATTATGATTCCATAAGTATAGATATACATAAGCCAATGGAAAAAGATTTTAATTTCATTTCTTGATTTGGCCTGTATTTTTCTAACTTAGATCTAATTTTTATTTGCTTTATTTTATTTTCTTTTAAAAAGAAAAGTTATAGATACAACTGAAACCACCTTTATTGACTTCTGAGAGTCACACCTCTTCTTTCAGCAACTGTGGAGGTATCACTTTTCTAAAGATGTGTACACTTCCTGTCTGTGTTTTTATATTTTTACTACATCTGTGTTTTTATAAACAATGTCATTACATTTTATATGTTTAAAAATTTATATAAATTATTCCTTTTTGTCATCTGGTCACTTCTTTTCTGAAAAATAGACTTTATTTATTAAGATTTTATTTATTTATTTATTTTTAGACAGAGGGGAAGGGAGGAAGAGAGGAAGAGAAACATTAATATATGGTTGTCTCTCTCACACCCCCAACTGGGGTCCTGACTTGGCCTGTAACCCAGGCATGTGCTCTGACTAGGAATCGAACCAGCGACCCTTTGGTTTGCAGGCCAGTGCTCAATCCACTGAGTCACACCAGCCAGATGTTATTTGGTCATTTTAATTTTTACTCAACATTTCTTTTGTAATCTAGGCATATTAATATATAAATTAGTTTAATTTTTCTAAAGTGTTTTATTGTAAAGATATACCATTCTGCTATTGATGGATGTTTAGGTTGTTTCCAATCAACACAGCATGAACATATGTGTACCTATCTCCTTGCAGACATGAAATATTTCTTTTTATACTGCTTCAATGAAGACTTTTGCTTAAACTGGTTAGGTGGATTCTTTTTCTTTTTAAATTTAAGCACAGGCAATTGATGAAAAAACTAGAATGCTATTTTCTAATCCAGATTCACATCTATCTTATTACCCACCTTAGATTAATTTCTTATTTTTTCATAAATTTTTTTTGTTAAATGCCTAAAAAGAGAATACTAGAAAATATGAAACCTAAGCCTTTATTTTACTTGGAAATAGTACTTCTATTTAAGACCATTTAATTCATTTATTTGTATATACAGAACTTCTGTTTAGAATTCTAGAACTCAGGAAAATAAAATGAAGAAGCTACAAATCAACATTTGAATGTTGCTTTTTGCAGAAGCAATGTTAGGGTTGAAAAGAATCTTGTCCACTTTCTGTCCCATTCCTGCCCACCCAAGTTATGATACAATACTGACTAAATAATTCAGGCTGTGGAACCTGATTTCTTATTTTTTCTTTCCTTTAGGGAATAAGCCAGCAGCACAATCTACCTTGGATTCTTTTTCTCTTGGTATTCCTGATTTTACTTTATCATGTGGCTGATCAAGGGTCAAATTATTCTTCCTTGCTTCACTGTCTTCGAGCAGGGGAACACAGCCATAACTGTTATCTGTAAAACAAAACCCTCTTGGACTTAAGTAGGAAACCCTTGTTTTTGGTTCTACCTGGAAATGTAAATAGAATACAAACCCAAATTCCTAATTTTAAGGAGTAGAAATTTTAAACTACAAGTTTTAAAATTTCTGTAAAAAATAGTTCCTTTGACAATTTAGATTTGCTTATTTAGATTTGAGCACATTTACTTCATATTTGTTTTCATTCCTACTAAGCACACAAAACTCTTACTCTACCACAATTAGTGGTGTACAAAATATGTAGAATTTAGAAAACTAGAATTATGCTCTTTACAGCTTAACCATGAACAACTAGAATTAAAGTTTTACGTAACTTGTATATTCAGGTATGTATTTCTTGTTTAACAGACTCATTGCTTATTATAGAAAAATTAGAAAATGTAGACATTTTCTAAAAAGTATAAAAAAAGCTAGCTATAAGCTATAATTTCATTATCTGTTATTTCTGTTAATATTTTAGTTTATATTACCAGTTCTTCATATATATATATATATATAAAATGTAAGATTTTTTTTGTATAAATAAAATAAAATTTAATTTTGTAACCTGTTTTGCTCATTTTGCTATATAACATGAGTATATGTCATGTTAATTAATCTATTATCATCACTTTTATTGGCTATAATAACTTATTATTATGAATTATGTCATGGTGAGCATCCCAGATTACATATCTTTGAGTACTTGAACAAATATATTCTTAGAACTTAAATTTGTGTTTTAAAAGGCACATTTTAATAAGCTTTTGCTATTTATTGGCAAATTGACTTCTAGAAAATTTTATCAACCTAGAGTTCTACCATACAGAATTATGTGAACGTTCACTTTTCTATTTCCTAAATACGTACATCAGACAAACAATGTAGAGATAAATTAGAAAAATTTGACTTCCACCTTTTTCTAGAAGTGGTTCAAGAAATATGCAAAAAATTAGCATGAACATACCTCGACTGGAATTCACAAGAAGTAACTGTGATTTTAGCTTGTCAATAATAGTTTGTTGAAGTGACAGCTGTTCCTGTTGCTCACGTATTCTCTGCTCATAGTTTTCAGTCTGCTGACATAAAAACCAGTTAGCCTGATATTTACTGACAGATATGTATATATATTTTCTATTAATAATTACATAGATACAAATCGCCCATATTGCTATTTTCCAGATATTGAGCACTTATTTATGAGCTAAACACTGGCGCCAGCAATGTATTTATAATCATTACCAACATCTGGGATTTAAAACACTTGAAACACTATAAAATTTAAAAAATCATCTTAAAGAAAATTTCACTTAAGAGCTCAACATATGGTTTCTTGGTCCTTTGGTTAGAATAAAAGTTATAATTTAGAATTTAATCCTTAATGATAAAAAAAGGCATAAATAATAATGTTATATTAAAGTTTTCTATAAAAATACCCACTAACTTAAAAAGCTAAGATCTCATGTCTTTTAAATAATCACAGTTTTGAATTTATTTTTAGAGGACAAAATAAAAAAGGAAATGGGTATAACTAAGACATGAAAACCAAAGGGAGGGGTACAAATTATAAAATTCTATTGATCATAAACTTCATTTCTAAAAGTTTTAAGACTTCAAAAAATGGTTAATTTTTAGTGGCTATCTTAAATGTCATAATTTATCTTATATTTTAAATCCATTTATTTTGCTATTTTATTGCAATAGCTATGAGAATTAAGCAGTGAAACAAGACACAAGTTTGCATTGGAAAATAGAAATACTGTAAATCTCAAAGAATTTGAAAATGCTGCATTACCATCAGTAAATTAGTACAAAGTCTTAAAAACTTATTACCAAAATAATAGAGAATAATAGAGAATTCTTTACCAATTTGTATCACCAGGTAACAAATAAGTAAATGACTAAACTATAAATTCCTTGAAATGTGAGATGGGGTGTCCTAATAATCTCATAAAGTTCTCCAGTAGATACTAAATATTTGATTTGAACTGGCTCTTGATCAAAGTTCAAAGTTTCAGAGAACAATAAGACTAAAATTCTTTATAAATTATACAGATGTTCCTATATTCCCCAAATAAATTAGCTTAAGAAACTAAAGCAAGACCCTGCATTTTCCCAACTAAAAGGCAAAATTGTATAATATGTTTCAAACATGATAACTGTCAGAGCTGATAAATAACCCAAGTGATGTACATGCCACCTGAAAGTAGTCTTATACAATATAACTGGATGTCCCCATAAAGCTCTGCGAGGTAACTTATAGAAAGTATTCAGTACATGCTCATTTGGAAAAAAAGAAAATATATGAATCCAAGTTAAAAAATCAAAGTACATTTTATTATGAATAGAAGAATAAATCCTGTGAGTCCATGCGCACCACATGTCCTGTGACTATGTGTGTAACTGAACCCTAGATACCAAAATCCAGTCTAGGGCCAGGCTTCCTAGGACATGACATCTTATTCCTATATAAATTTATGTTCAAGGACCTAGAAAGAGTGCATAGGTTAACTGAAAGAAGGATTCAAATGTCTATAGCAAACTCTGTAACACCTTAAATTTACCTGGACTACACACAGCCTCCAGGGCTGAGGTATCAGCAAACTGATGTAAGTCTTCTCTATCTATTTCTGTGTATTCAGAACTTTCTCCAAAGAACTCAAAGCTCATCACAAACAATGACCAATAATTACCCATTTTTCATGTATTTTGATAGGTATGTACATTCCACTTATCCAGACATTAAGTAACCACTACAAAAAACTCAGCAGGTTAGAGATAGGCCCACAATAAATGTATAGGTTATTTAAGCCTCAGTCCATTCTCCATCCACGAGATATATTTCCCTCATCTTAATGAAAAATGAACTGACCTGTATTTTCCTTTGAAGCAAACTCAGAAAGCCTCTGCCAGGTAATTTTCCTTCCTTCCCTCCCTCCCTCCCGTTTCCTTCCCTCTCCCTCCTTCCCTCCCCTCTTCCTCCCTTTCTTCCAGATTTTATTTATTTTTTAGAGAGAGGGGAAGGAAGGGAGAAAGAGAGAGAGAAACATCGATTGGTTGCCTCCCACAAGCCCCCACCTGGGGACCTGGACTGCAACTCAGGCATGTGCTCCTACTGTGTATCAAACCAGTGGCCTTTCAGTTCACAGGTATTCGACCCACTGAGCCACAGCAGCCAGGGCGCTGGCATGTAATTTTCATCTTCTACTCTCTGGTTTAAAAACATACTTTAGCACATTTGTACATATAATAATAAATGAATAATGTTGAGAATGTATTCATATTAACTTGGAAAAATCAATAGATCAACAATTATTTCAAATTGAAGCTTTGAATTATTTCTTAAACCACTTAATAAAATACTTTATAAACTCAAGTAAATTTTGTAATAGTTTAAAACCTAATACCTTAGAAGTATACCAAGGGAAACAGAAGAGCAGTGGTTCATGTTCTCTCACTGCTCTTTCTATGTACTTATATTATAGAAATTAAATTTTCCTTTAAACTATGGCCTCATCGAAGGCAAAGACTATTTTGTTCTGTTATCTCCAGAGTACAGCAGAGTGTCTAGCACATATTGAGATTCTCAGTAAATATTACTTGAACAAATACACTACTTAAGAAAGTAGATATGCCTTCACAAGTGACCTGGGAGAATAAAGAAAAGGCTTTGCTTTTTTTCTGAAAGGGAAACAGGAAAAATGGAGATAAGGTCAGTAGGTGAATAAGATAAAAGTAAGTTAAGTTTAAGAATATGGATGCAAATGATAGGCAATGTTGGAAGATTATTAATTTGGGGGGGAGGGAAGCTTTTGCTATCAGGAAAACAAAAGGTAATAATTTAAGAGGAGAAAAATATATATTCAGAAAATAGTAAAAAACGAAATTTGGCCATAAGACCATGAGGGAAGTCCAGAGAATATTATATAAGATTGGAAATTAAATGGTAGAATTCAGTTTTTTTGCTATGTTTGGAAACTAAAAGAAACAAAAAGGTTTTTTTTAAAATTAAATACTTATGCTCACTGAAAAAAATATGAATAAACTTAGAGCCTGAAAGTCCTTTTAAAGGGTCACACAATTATTGCACTGTCACAGTATTAAAAAAATTTACAAAGCCAAGTGTATCCCGGCACTATCAAAGACCCCATAAAACAGAAAAAATTAACAACCACATTGAAAATGTACAACAGCAATGTCTTGTCAACACTTCTGTACAGAGCACAGACATGACAGCTAAAACAGACAGAAGAGAAGATGCTTTTGACAGCCAGTGTGTGTGAATGATTCTTTGAGTCAGATGGCAGCAACAAGTTACCAACTAAGAGATCTGCATGACAACTAACCATCCATCTGTATCAAACACCATCTGGCCAAGATGACTCTGGCTTCTGTGTATTTGACACTCCTTCCAATTCTAAAGACTAGCAAAACAAGTGGTCTACCCAGCATCTAAAGAGGAAAAACAGGTACTTAGGTACTTACACTATAATGCACTTTGTATCTTTCTCAGTGTACAAAAGCAAAACTTAAAACAATGCTGATCAAATATAGGACACATCTTAAATTTATTAAAAATGGTTGTCCACACATATTTTAATCAAAAGCTTAACAAATATCCCTTTATCCAGGCAAAATCTGAATCTATCTTAAAAACTGGCAGCATATTCTCTATAATTTTGGACATACAGCTGCTCAAGTTTTCATGAGTTTCATTAAAATAAAATAGAGTTCTAAAAACTGAATTATTTTCCTATTGCTGACACTGAAAATTCTAATTTTTCATATTCTCCAAAGCACTTATTTCCTATATGAAAAAAGTCTAGTGCTCTTAAGTCATCTACAATAATCTAAACAGATCAAATGTTATTTCTTTTTGAACATTATGTCTTCTTATCCTAAAGAACTAATCTCAATATTCTGAAAAATACTACTGCTTTCCTTCAAGTATAAAAATTGGAATAAATGTTGAATGAATGAAAAAAGTCTCAATTTAAAAACCTTTCAAACTGTTCCAAAATTAACAAAGAGAACAAAAAACTTCACTGAAGGATTTGCTTGGCTACCACAAAGGCTCTTAATATGGAGTTCCACAGTTCATAAAGTAAGATAATTAGATATTAATTATCCCAATACATAGCATTTTAGACACAAACTTTTTATCTTGATACTTTGGTAAACTAACCATCAATTTTAAGTTTAAAAAAAATGAGATTTTATAGGATCAGCAACTCAGAGACCCTGGTTTCTTCATCTATTCTCTGCTATTATTCCCTTATAATGAGGTAGAAGTCCTGCCTGCCCTCTCTCTCCCTCCCAATACTAAGATTTATCTAGGCTAGAGCTACAGTTTGACAGATCAGATTATCAATCTAATTATCTACTATTAGGTGACAGTGCTGCCAGCAATTTCACAGCATGTCAAATGGTACACTAAGACAAACTATTTTTATTTTACAATCTTGTGTTTTGGCCCTGATTAATTTACTTAGTGTCTTTGAGCCTCGATTTCTTTCTCTTTGCAATGAAGATAATATTTACCTGAAGGACTGAAGGAGGTTGCATGTATAAAATAGCTGGCACATAATAAGCTCCTTGCAAACATTAATTCCTTTCTTTTAATAATGTGCAAGGTACCTACCTAGCATCTATTACCATAGCATGTAGTGCATACATTCATGAATTAAAGCCCGGATTACCACTGAATACAGGCAGTTTGCTACCAGACTTACCACACAACCACCCCATGCTCTAAGCCAGTTTCCTCAGTCTTTCTTCTAGTTCACTGTAACCTAGGACTCAGAAGTTTGTGGTATCGCCATTGAAACAAAAACATTCTGTCAAGCAAAAACAAGAAACTCTGATTGTTCAAAGTTTACAAAGAAAGTTTATAAAACCTATAAAAAACAGGCTCAAAAATTATTAAGGAATAATTAATGGTTGTTAAAAATTATAAAAGTAGCATGTTTGTTGAAAAAAATGCACATATCAAAATGTCCACCAGGACCACAACAAAAATCCAGATAGGTACAAAGTAAAAAGTGACAGTGTCTTCCTTTACTTTGTCTTCAATTCCTCC